GCGCGCAAAAACGGATGTCCGACAAACGATACTCGAAAAATGGTATACTGTTTGCGAGAATTGTCAGTGAAAAATTTAATAAAAGTCGACTCCGAATTGGAGAACATTCGTTCAGCCGCCCGAGGTTTCGTCTCTGCTTTAGCTAACTTGCTCGCACCCGGTCCTGTTGTGGAAGGCGCCGACGATGGGAGGTAATGCGAATTGAAAGAGTATCAAAATTCTCTTTAACGTTTCAAATTACGTTAATCACTTGCAGATCGCTCCCGAATTTTATGACTGCATCGCCAGAGAATTCCTTGAAGCTCGGCGATATCCCGTCTATACCATTGTTAACCGGAGTTATGAATGACGAAACGGGAGGCGCCATCTCCGGCCGATACAAGGACGAAGTGCAGAACAAATTGAATGCAGATCCAAATTTTTTGATCAATGATTTCATACCGTATTTGCAAGGAACCATCCCAAACATGCAAAACGGATCGCGGATTATCCCGCAGGCTTTCAGTGACTATTTCGATTACACAGGCTTACGCACGCAAAGTAGAGTCGCGGAAGCTTTAGCCGATTCACTCTACAACGCTCCTGCACTTTTGACCGTCGACCATTGGTCGAAAAAGGCAAACGCATTTTTATATACCTTTGATCATAAAGGAAAGAGAAATTACGGTAAAGATTTCCTCGCCGGATTGCCGATCGTTAACGCTATACAATCTCCTGACGGTACAGTCTGCAATAATTGATAAAATCAATCAGTGTATACAATTTTTAAATAATTACTCATCTCGTAGGTAATTTGTATCACGGCGATGATTTAGGATTCGTCTTTAATCGAAATACAATTACCGGCGAAAAAGTGGCCGACAGTGATAAACCAGACGAATCGGATGAACGTGTGACTGAGACTTTCACAAACATGATAGCAAATTTTGCAAGGAGCGGCACGCTTAGCGCGCCTACTGGAAATATACGTTCCAATAACACTTCCAATAGCACTTGGATGCCAGACATAATTCCACAATTCTCGGATGACACAAATTCATTTGTCAGTATTACAACGACTCTGCAAAGCAAAACTAATTTTAGGTAAAAAATTATATTATAAAAAATTTATATTAATCAACCATTAATTGGACATGTTATTAAAATATATACTATACTTGTACAACAGATACTGCGAAATGGGATTGTGGACTGTTGCGCCGGAACGATTTGAATCAGCTTTGTGTAGCGTAAGTAATGTGCTTCCCCAATTAATAGACCAAGGCACCAAAGGAACAGCATCTGTAATTAATAAACCCATCAACGCGCTCAATGAGCTCATCCCAGAAGTCAAAGAAGCGAATGTAGAAAATAAAACGCAACCAACAAAACCAAACGGCGGAATATTACCAAAAGTACCGCGAATACCATTTGCTGGTTAAATTCTTATTCTTCGTACATTTACTTTATACCACGGTGTAAGAATATAAGGTGATTTCACGACCATTGTATTCTATCAAAAAATCTGTGATCAAGATGTCATAGTTAAGGCATGTCACACAAGATGTCACGTTGGTGCAAAATCCCAAGTAAAAAAGAATAGAAGATATGGATCATAGATATATTACATATAGATAGAGCTTTGTGAATCTTACTGCCTGCCAAGATAAAATTATCTTTTCCTCCCTCGCGCATGTGCAATCGCGCATTTATCTTCTGTTTATCCATGACAGCCAAGGATATAACCCTAATTTTATGTAAAAGTGCTGTATCCGCCGAGATAAATATACGAATGCGTATGCGCGAAGGAGGAAAATCCGTCATTATCTTGGCAGGTGTTGCACTATAGCAAAAATGGTACAAAGCTCTATCTATATGTAATATATCTATGATATGGATAGATGTGGATAGAAAAAGATAGATGATGAATCTCTAAAACACATCTATATATAATTATAGTCCTAAATAATACAAATTTTTTAAAATAAAACTTTTAACATTGTGTATAAAAATATATATTACTGACAAAATATTTTTTTATTTTTTTATAATAAATTATTCTTAGTTAAATTTGCAGAAAAAATAATTAATAATGTATTTTAATCTTTATAGAAAATTAAGTTTCTTTAAGAAAATGAATATTTATAATTAAGTTCCGCAGGACAATAAAATTTTAATAAAATTTATATATATATATATTTAAAGTCCCTCAACACGTAGCCACCTAGCAGTTCAATGTGGAACAATGACAGAAAAATCACAAAAATTTGTTACCGTGAAATCACCTTATATTCTTACACCGTGCTTTATACATTATTCTTATTGTGTATGTGTTATTACAATTATAACTATAAAATAATTAAATAATAAAAAATATCAAATAAAACATTGTTATTTGCCAGTTTGTTGAAAGATTTGATATGTAAAAAGACATTTAATTTTATATTGCAATTTGTATCGTAACATATCTTTATAATGTAACTTTATTACAATACTAAAAATTTTAAAAATTTGATACAGCACAAAAGACAATACAAGACGAAAGATACAATAGTAATGATAACTTGAAGATAATAAAACAGTTATTAAATAATATACTGCTTAACCCTTTGCATCTGTTTGTAAAATGCATTTAAGAGTTGTTATTTTGCATAGAGATCTATTTGTGTAATTCTGTGATTTCTGTACAGTATTCAATTAAAGATCCTAATACTTTGCATACCAGTGTCAAATCTCGTGAATTGCTGCACAGCATTTTCTAGTATTTGAATAGCTTTGGCTATTCATAATATATCGTATTTTGAAAATAAATCTTTAGAGCATCTAAAGATAAGATAAGATTCCATCAAACATAAATAAACCCATTATATCAAGTATTCTCTTGATTTATACGAGAATTAATATCTGCTATGATAATATTTTGCACTTTATCAATTTGGAATATAACAATATATAAAACATACAAAATACTTTGCAAATTTCAAAAACATACTTGTTTCATACCTCTTGATTATTAAATGACACGTCATTATCATTACATCGATCAATTTATAAATGTTTACAATTGTTTATAACCTCTTACATACAATTTTTCTGTATGCGGATTAAGATATATTCAATAAACTTGCATAGGCGCATTAATATATGCATAAAAAAATGAGCCAATTAACTTTCTTATGCATATGTTTGCTACGCAAGTTTGTCTGGATATATCTTTAGATTTTTGTGTTGAATACAAGATCTATAGAGAGAAGGTTACCTCAAAAAAACCGGTTGTGGGCGAGGGACGATGAAGTAAGGGGGGAGCTAGAAACAATGTTTTTTGTATTTTAGATTAACTTTGCGTATCGGCACAGTGACAATTCCGCTGCTGCACATCGTATTGGTAAGTCAGTCCAATTTTATTTTAATATTATTAAAACAATAAATCTCAAAATGATACAAGATTTATACTCTCATAATTAATAGAATGTAGATCATAATATATAATATAATAAGAGTTTTGTTATTTTTATTGATTGTATAAAAGTTCAATTTATAAAATATTTTAAATTATGTATATCAAAGTTTTTTCAAGAAGAACAAACTATTATTCTAATAATTTTATTCTCTGTCGCACTTGTTATACATATCACATGTTATACATCATTTTATAGATTTATTTATTTTACAATCAGTGGACTAGGATTTAAGTTGTATAAATTGGCACGGAAAAACAATGTTAATAAAATTTTTCAAAACATACATTCTGTCAAATAAATATTGGGATTGTTCAATAAAACACAAAATATTGGTTTACTCATCCAAATTTATTTTATCGCCTTCAAAATAATCCCCATTTGATGCGATACACTTATGCCAACGAATAATCCAGTCGTTGAAACACTTCTTATAGGCATTTTCCGGTATGGCCTTCAGCTCCTGCGAATTTTGTTTTATGGCTTCAATGGACTTAAAACATCTTCCACGAAGTGGTAACTTGAGTTTAGGGAACAAAAAAAAGTCACACGGGGCTATATTTGGTGAATACGGTGCTTAGTCGATGACATTCGTTGAGTTTTTGGTCAAAAATTCGCGTACAAGGATCGAATTGTGGGACAGCGCATTATCGTGGTGCAAAATCCAAGAATTGTTCTTCCACAAATCTGGCCTTTTCCGGTGACATTCTCTCTCAAACGCCTCATAACGCCCAGATAATATTGTTTGTTGATTGTTTGCCCCTTCAGAAGGAATTCCGAGTGGACAACACCACGATAGTCAAAGAAAACAGTCAACATGACTTTTCGAGCGATTTTGACGTGGTTTTTTCGGTTTCGGCTCGTTATCAAAGCGCCATTCCGAAGCTTGTTGGCTGGTTTGCATGTCAAACTCATAAACCCACGTCTCGTCACCTGTTATGATGCGTTTAATAAATGTAGGGTCCGAATTGGCTCGTTGAAGCATGTCCTCAGCAACTTGTTTGCGATGCTCTTTTTGAAGAAAATTCAGCTCCTTCGGAACAAGCCGTGCTGCGACGCGTCTCATGCCCAAAACATCAACTAAAATGATGTGAACGGATTCGTGAGACATGTCCAGATCCTGAGCCATCTCTCTTAAGTTTGAATGACGATTTTCCATCACCATTTCCTCCACTTTGTCGATGTTTTCGTCAGTTGAAGACGTTGAAGGTCGACCGGAACGAGGCAAGTCTTCAATCACTTCTCGGCCTTCTTTGAAAGTTTTGTACCACTCGTATGCTCGTGTTTTCGATAAAACTGACTCACTGTAGGCCTTCTCCAACATTTTCAATGATTCAGCACAAGAAATTTCGTTGGCAACACAAAATTTCAGGCAAACTCTTTGTTCAATATTTTTATCCATTTTGAAAATCACAGATCACACTTGAGGTCGACTAACTTAACCAACAGCTGTAAATAAACTAATCGACAGATCGCGCCAAAACTCTACATGACAATTAGGTACATTGGTACCAATTTGGAGCAAAAAAAAATTTTTTTATACCTTTTACACATTTTTTAAATGAACAATTCCCAGTAGTTATTTGACAGAAATTGTATTGCAAGCTTATTACACGAACATAAATTACAAATAGACAGTATGTTCCAAATAATTTATTTCATGAAAAAATTTTTAATTAAAGAATGTACTTTTGTGTTTTTGCTGTACACTAATTTCATCTTTCCTAGCTTACTCACGCATCCGTGGTCCCATGGCTTGATTGATCCCATGGTCGAGCACGGAAATTCGAAATCCGTGGCCTCATCGATGATGATCAATCACGGATCTCGAACAATGTTGACAACGATCGATCATGGTCGACTATGATCGACTATCAACATCAATTTTAGACGCAAAAAGCGGAAACCGAACTTTGCGCTATGCGAAAAATATCGAGACAGTCGCTTTCGAATATTTGATACAAAGAGTGGAAACTGAGTTAAGCATGCCTCCAAAAATATCAAGACGGTCGCTCTCAGATTTCTCTGAATGGGATATAATTTACGCACATGCAAAAGTCCGTATATCTAATTTTCAGACTTTTAATCTCGATAAAGCTCGTCGCCGCGTACAAGCTCTTATCAGATGCAAAATAATCACGAAAAATACAAAATTTAGAATTCTTTATTACTACACAATGTTGGGGCATTATTAAAATTCTAATACCAATGCGATGTTGATCGCAATACTATGTGTCAGATTTATTATCAATATTTAGGCACCAAATCTGCTCTAAATTTATATCTAACATTTGCATTTCGCGTATCATGACATAACAAATTTTCGACGTAAATGTGATTTTTGATATTCATTAATTCTTCAACTACACAACACTAACTTTCTTTCTTATGCAATTTCTTATTCTTGTGATACATTTTTATCTTTTCCTTTTCAAAAATTTTGGAAAAGAAATGACATTTCAAAAATTTTGAAAAGTACAAAGATAAAAATGTATCACAAGAGCAAGAAAAATTGTGTATCGAAGAGTTAATGAATATCACATGCTTAAAAAAATGTCATTTTAAACATTTTGGAACGAATTCTTATCTACCTGAGATTTATCTACATCCATTACACTATTATTTGCTTCTATTCTTTCCAAACAATTTTGTTCTGTACTGCTTGCATTCTCCATTATTTTAACACGTTCTATTGAAATTATTTTTGGCCGTTTGCATGTAGACATTATATTTGTATCTTGAGAAAGTTCTTCTTCAACCCTACTTTTTTTATCCAATTCGCTAATAGTAGCAACTTCTTCTTCTTGTTTTTCAGAAACAAATTGATCATCAGGTTTTCTGCAAATAAGTGTTTTTGTAATAGTGTATTATTTCAAGTATATTGCAAATTTGAGATACTTACTGCTGTCGAGGTAATTGTAACGTAGGTGCAACAGGATGTATAATTTTTTCCAATTCGGCTAATGTAAGTTTAGCTTCATAAGCGATATTTAAATCAATATCATTAGCTGCCATGTGTGATATTTCTAAAGAATATTGTGTAGGAAACGCTAATGTAGCCTGTGGGTTCATTTGTAAAGCCTTTAATACTTTGAATAGCTCCAAGCGACATTTGTTGTGTTGTTTATAAAAATTTTGTCCAGAGGAACCCAAATAATGATTGTATAATAAAGGTATAATGGTATTTTGAACATTCTAAAACAGATATTCAGATATTTAGAAATGCAAAAATTATCAAAATCTATAATTATAACAAAAATTTCAATAATTTTACCTTATAAAATGTCAGTTTTAGCAGAACGCTACCACTGAAAAGTATGTTCTGTAAAACAATAGCAGCTTCTCTGCATACATCTGCATCTAAATGTTCATTTTTAGTTACAGCTTCTCCATTATTCAAGACTGAACTGTTTTCATATTGACTGTTTTTCAAACGTTTTGTTGCTCGTTTAGACAAATGCTGTGTGTTTTGTTGCACCTGAAACAAGATAATAAAATAATTCTATATACAAATTTACATAATTTGTAACTAGATTAATATATAATTAACATCAGATCAGTTAGATTTTTATATATCATAATCATTGTGTAGTTTTCATAATTATCCAAGCATTAAACTTACAGATAATAATATACGATCTTCTTCTGGTGTTATATCTTTTAATATGAAGGTGATATCTTTATTCGTAATTGTCTCTATACCTGACAATGATTTGGTATTCTTCAACCACGAAGAGAGACATTTATAAAGACATATTTTAACATTTTTGAAAGGTTTACTATTACCAAATGTTATTTGATTTTCTAAAATAGTGCTAGTCCACTGCAATGTTTGCTGGAATAAACTTAATATTGTTCCTCCAAACGGTATCAACTCCTGTGCAAATCTGAAATATATATTATAATCCATTTAATATTACGTTAATTCATGTTGCTTAATTAAACATAAGTATATTTTATTAGCAATATTTACCCATTTATAAATGCATCCAAAACTGTGAGTAAGCTAATATGCATTTTTGGCAAGATCATATATAACATTTGTCCCTTAAATGTTTTATTTTTTATATTTAATGGCGTTATTGCCAATCCTCTGCATAAAACCCGTATAATAGCATCAGGTAAAACGGTATTTTTTGCTTCATATCCACTGCAATTATAAATTAAAAACATACACTATGCATTTTTAGAGATAATATTAAATATTGAAATATAAATTTAAGATTTGTACCGCAACATTGAGGAAAGATAAGTGCACAGATTTGAAAATCTTTGCTTTTGTTTATTATAGTACTGTATTGTATTGTCCTGTTCAAGTATGGTTGGTAATGCTAACTGATCCCAGACAACCACACTTTCCAATTCTAGTAATTCAGAGAACAATGTATCCATTATAGTGTGCAAGTTGTTGCAAAGTAATGCTTCATTATACAGCCATGCAGTATATGTGGATTTAGTTGGCGGTGGGTTAAACGAACGCTCTGTTGCTTTTGACAAGAGAACATAACATTTTGCACTTGCGTTAACCAAATTTTCTTGTGTAGAATCAATTTGCAATAGTATCATTTTTTTTATCAATTCCTGAAGACATCAGAACATTAATCTTACAAATGGTCTCTCTTGCTCACAAGTACATTTTTTTTTAATTAATATGTAGCATAAAATATTTAAACTTATAAAACAAATATTCATCTATTGGATTACCTGAAATCGTTCGCAAACTTGAGGATAATGATATAGCAAAACGGCTGTCAAATAATACACTGCTCCACACTTTGCATCTGTTTTCAACGCATCAAGTACATTTAAGAGTTGTTTTACATTTTGCATAGAGATCTGTTTGTGTAAATCTGTGATTTCTTTACAGTGTTCGATTAAAGATCCCAATACTTTGCACGCTAGTGTTATTTCTTGTGTATTACTCCGTGCATTTTCTAGTATTTGAGTAGCTTTGGCTATCCACAATAAACCATACTTTGAAAATAAATCTTTGGAGCATCTATGCAAAATTCTATCCAACATACGTAAACCATGATATCGAGTATTCTCTTGATTTATACGAGAATTAATATTTGCTATGATAATATTTTGCAATCTGTCAACCTGGAATATAACAATACATAAAACATACAAAATATTTTGCAATTAAAAACATTTATTTTGTACCTCGTCTTTGTAAAATGGCACGTCATTATTGACCATTATCTCTTGTATCAACCATTCAAGTTCTTCCGAATCCACGTCGAAGGAGTTCACTAACTCAGTTATCGATGCCATCTTATATTTTATTTATTGGAGTGCCTTCAATCTATCTTATTTTTGGCAGGCAGGTATTTTAACATTAGAACTTCAGAGTTATCTATCTAGTTTCTTTGTTTAAACTTTCTTCTATTTAAGTATCCTGTACGTAACCCATTTTAACCTCTTTTCGTGCTATATTATCGTACAATTGTCGCACAACTTCAGTCACTTATACATATTTATAACCTCTTTACAGTACACGTGTAATAAGAGGTTTGTTCTTTATAGCTGAACTGGCTGCACTAGTTCAGAGTTTATCTTTTTTTCTCTACATTAGAAGGAGAAAGATAAACTCTGAAGTAGTGCAGCCAGTTCAGCTATAAAGAACAGACCTAAGGTATCTATCACATTGACGTTCGACGTTTAATTTCAGCGTTAAAAGACATCACGTGACTAAAAATAACCAATCGTTGCAATAGTTTTTGGTCACATGATGTCTTCTAACGCTGAAATTGAGCGTCGAGCGTCGGCGTGAAAAAGTATCTGTAGTGTGATATAAGAAAGTACCAATAGATGGCAATACTAACACGTGCATATTTTTCAGATGCAACGGATGAAATTAGTCGCGCAACTTTCAATGCTATTCATCATTGTTGCGAAAAATTGCGAATCGCACGAATAATGATTTCGTACAGTTTTTATTTTAAAAATCAAAAGTAAAGGAAATATGCGTTGGGAGTGTCGTGAAAAGTATCGTGCGATTACAATCTTTACCGGAAGTGCCGTGCAGTATCGCGCGATCATTGAGTGTTATAAAATATACTTTGGAAATATCGTGTAAAGTTTCGCGCAAACATAACCGCGTTTTCGTCAGTGCCACGGAAAAACAGCGAAAAAGAAGCAAAAGAGAAAATGATGTTTGAAGGATGTCGAGCAACATAATTGAGGCACGAGTAATTTATTATTTATTTATTATTTCTTATTTAGATATATATGAACAGAATTAATTTCTACTGCTATAATTTGGATAATATAAATAATTAACATAATACATTAAAAAAAAAAAAAAAAAAAAAA